CCACCCAGCTGTACGTTCTCATCACGTCACACCTGAACTATTGCCAGGGTCTGCTGGTTAGTCTCCCTGACTCAAGCTTCTCCCAACTCCAATTTGTTCTCCACTCAGTTTTCAAATAGATATTCCTAAGGCACAGGTCTGACCACAGCATCCATCCCATTCAATAGACTCCAGTAGTTAGCTAGGTGGTACAATGGATAGAGTGCCAGCCCTAGAATCAGGAGGGCCTGATTTAGAATCAAGCCTCAGATACTTACTAGCTGTGTGTTCTGGGCAAGTCACTTAACCCTGATTGCCTCAAAAAAGAAGAGGAAGAAGAAGAAGAAGAAGAAGAAGAAGAAGAGAAGAAGAAGAAGAAGAAGAAGAAGAAGAAGAAGAAGAAGAAGAAGAAGAAGAAGAAGAAGAAGAAGAAGAAGGGAGGAGGAGGAGGAGGAGGAGGAGGAGGAGGAGGAGGAGGAGGAGGAGGAGGAGGAGGGAGGAGGAGGAGGAGGAGGAGGAGGAGGAGGAGAGAAGGAGAAGTAGAAGAAGAAGAAGAAGAAAAAGAAGAAGGAGGAGGAGGAGGAGGAGGAGGAGGAGAAGGAGGAGAAGAAGAGAGAAGAAGAAGAGAAGAAGAAAAAGAAGAAGAAGAAGAGGAGGAGAGGAGGAGGAGGAGGAGGAGAAGGAGAAGAAGAAGAAGAAGAAGAAGAAGAAGAAGAAGAAGAAGAGAAGAAGAAGGGAGGAGGAGGAGAAAGAAGAGAAGAAGAAGAAGAAGAAGAAGAAGAAGAAGAACGAGGAGGAGGAGGAGGAGGAGAAGAAGGAGAAGAAGAAGAAGAAGAAGAAGAAGAAGAGAAGAAGAAGAAGAAGAAGAAGAAGAAGAAGAAGAAGAAGAAGAAGAAGAAGAAGAAGAAAAGAAAATGTCCCTGGGAAGTGTAAAAACTACATCCATTTAGTAATTCAAGATCTTTGAAATCAATACTGAGAGGTGGTCATGTTGCAGGGTGTAGACAACTAGCCTAGAAATTGGCAAGACCTGAGTCAAGTCTCATCTCTGACATGGACTGACTGTGTGAACCTGGCAAGTCTTAGGTTGTAAACTCTGTGAGGGCAGGGGCTGTCTTCTACCTCTTTTTGAACATTGCCTAGTATGCCAGCTGTAGTATGGCATACATTGCCATACTAGGTGCTTAATAAATATTGATTGATCGACTGATTGACAACATCTTAGTGCCCCAGACAGCTCTAACACTAAAAGTTGCTCAGTAGCTGCTGATCTGCATTGGTTAAAAAAGGCTCTTTATGCCCATGAAATCACAGGTTTGGTTCACAACAAACAAATGTCAATTATAACTATTAATCCTGTCATCAGCTGTGGACCCGGCGCTATGGAATCAAAGGCATAGTCTCTGGTCTCAGAGAGCTTACGATCTGTAAATAGGGGTCAGAGTCAAGATAAGACTAGAACTCATGAAACACTAGATGATGAAGTGCTGAATCATGTGGTCCAGGTGTATTAGGCTTCAGTTGTCATGGCAATAGCTAAAGAAAGAAAACACAAACAGGAGCTAGGAGCAAAGCCGTTGTTTTGCAGACCCTGCCCCCGTCCCCTGCCCCCTTTTTTCCTTCATATTGGGTATAAAATACATCTGCTTAAAGAGGTTTTCTCTAACAAGTGCGAAGAATGATAAAGGGAGTCAGATTTCTGATTTTACAATTTTATATGGGCTTGTGTTTGAAAAGGTATTTTTCTGTACATCTTCCTGGTCCCATTTTTTTTATGAAAACAGAGGATACAAAATTTAGATGGAAAGCTGCAACTTTAACTTTCCCTCTAGGGCTACAAGTTTTTTTTTTCATTTTGCTATTCCTTCCTTCCTTAATTCTTCCATCTGTAAAATTGGAGTAATAAATGCCTCTGTTGTGAGTCTTTGTGAAACAGCATTGGTACAATATTTTGAACTCCTCAGACAAAAGAACAACATAACTCTAAGATGGCACAGGGTAGTGTGGCATAGGACTTAGTACATTCATCCTGTAGTCAGGATGACCTGAGTTCAGATCCTGCCTCACACACCGACTAACTGTGCAACCCTAAGCCCTTACCCTCTCTTAGCCTCAGTCTTCTCATGTATAAAAAGGGGATAATAATAGCACCTTCCTCCTAAGGTTGTTATGAAGATCAAATGAAATATTTGTAAAGCACTTTGTAAAACTTAAAATACTATAGAAATGCTAGTAATTATTTTATTAGAAATAAATTAATTCACCTGATAAATTATTAGGAATAATCTGCTCAATAATACATAATTCTTTTGTTAGAAGTAATTAATCACGGTGAAGGTATAACATCGTGTGTCTATACTAACTACTACAGGTTAATAACTTTATGGTAAGCCTATTTGCTGGAATAGTAATGTGATGAACTGCAGAAAATCAAAACTTTGTATGGAAGTCACACACACACACACACACACACACACACACACACACACACACACACATACACACACATGCACTTGAGATAGTTGTTTCCTGGAATTATGCCCCATGGCTATGACATTGAGATGATCAGAAGTGTGGCCTTTACCTCTTAGTAGTTATTTTAAGGAACATCTAAGGAGTGCCTAAATGAGCTGCTGCAGACTTGGAAGTGTAATCCTGCATGAGGCTTTGGAGATCTCACTCCAAATGCAGTGATTTTGTACTAGGAAACTCTGTGTAACTACAAAACACAGCCCTGGGCAGTCAATGACATCTTTAGGGTATCGGCATGGGGCTAAAGGAGAGGGTGGTATATAACAGTCCTCACCCACCTGCTTGTAATTTGTTGAATTAGGATGGGCTTGGGAATGGCTGGCCCCTCTTTGTCCCTCGTTACCAAGTCCCCAAACATCCTCATTTTAATTTTTCTCAGGCTTTGTACCAGGCTTGACTATTGACATATGGTAAGAAGGTCATGATGCCACCCAAACTTCCATGGGCCTACCTTGAACTAATGGTTATAGAATTGGCCACAGTGCTTTAAAAATAGCTAAGGTTCCTTGAGATATCAGCTTCAACCTCCCAAAGTATAGCATTCCATCTGTACATTTAGAGCTAGAAGGGACATTAGAGGTTCAATTCAATTTATTTCCATTTAATTCAGTGAACATTTATTAAGCACCTACTGCATGCTTAATATGCTTTAATGTGCTCTTAGTAAGTGCCTACTGTGGTAAGTGCTGGGTATACAAAAAGAGCCAAAAGACAGTCCCTGTCCTCAAGGAGGTTACAGTCTAACAGAGGAGACAACATGCGAACAAATATATTCAAAGCAAGCTATATACAGCCTATATACAGGACAAAGAGGAAATAATCAACAGAAGAACTAGTCTTAATCCCTCATTTTATGGAGGATGAAATTGAGGCCACACTAGTCAAGTACCTTGTTCAAGGCCAGGCAGGTAGTTTGGTAGCACAGCTTGCATTTGAACCCAGGCCCTCTCACTGCAAATTGACCATTAAAACTAAGTAGAATCCTCTTCTTAAGCAGCTGCACCCAGAGTTTCTCTAAATTTGTGTGTGTTTAAATGATTTAAATAAATAATGCTTTGAGAAATCTTAACACTCCCTTGGGATAAGGAGTAGAGACATCTTGATCCTTCAGAACATGAGCACTGGAAATCACTACCCTAAAAGGTGGGTATTTACCTCTCAGCATTAGCTGGGAGGCACAGTGGAGAGAGTACTGGATTTGGAATCAGGAAGATACGAGTTTGAATCCTGCCTCAGACATTTGCTAGCTGTGTGACCCTAGGCAAGTCACTTGACCTCTATTTGCCTTAGTTTCCTCATCTGCAAAACAGGGATATTAATAGCACCTACATCCCATATCAGTAATATTTGTAAAGCACTTTACAAACCTTAAAGTACAATCTGAATGTTAGCTATGCTTAATATCAAATTAGCTTGTAGATTGGAAACCCAGAAGAAAGAGGGAGGCAAGAGGAAATATCTCTTTCCATCCAAATTTAGTTTTATGACTCCAAGGACTTAGCTGGGAAGGAAAGATAGAGATAGACAGATGGGGGGACAAAAGAGAAAGGAGAGGAGAGAGAGGAAAGTCAGAGACAGAGAGAGACAGATCAAAAAAATAGACTAACTTTTATTGATGTGTGTGTACATATATTTAGCATTAGGGTATTGTATTTGAGATAAGCAAAAAATTTTAAGAAAAATTAGTAACATTTATACAGTGCTTTGTATGTATTATCCCATTTGAATTTCACAAATAACATTTGAATTCAGGACTCCAAATCTAGTAACCTTCTCACTGTACCACACAAACTCTCTAATTTTCTTGCATATAAATTCCACCCATAGTCAACGAGACATAGGACATAAAGGAGAAAAGCCTGGAAGACCTGGGTTGAGTTCTGCCTCTGACATAACTAGCTGTGTAATCATGGGCAAATCACTTCATTGCTCAATGCCTCAGGCAAATCACTAAAAATTAAAGTTGCTGAGGAGTTGCCAATATGTATCTGTGTAAGGAGTTTCCACACTGAGAGTTCCCTGAACCGATGATTCCACTGGATCAAAAAAAATTCTCCCCATTTGGCTGCCTGATAGAACAAAATATTTACTTCTTTCAATGATCGTTCAATAAATTAACCTTCAGGTATACAAACATGGGCTACTTAGCATTATTATAATGGTGCCTGTGGATCACTCACTATTTCACAATCTAAGATGCCCAAACCTTCGATGAGCAGACCTTAATAGCTCTATTAATGTTCTACCTACAACTCTGATGGATTGCCTTTTCTTAGAAGTTCATTGATCATAAGTACTTTAAGTATTTATACATGGCCTGAGCTTTTGTTTTGAAAAACAATGGTCTGCTTGGTTAAGGTCTGCATATCTGTGCAGTGCTATCCTTAAATCACCTAAGCAAGCCCACTTTCCTCTAAACCGAGACTTATGCACAAAAAATAGATATTGTATATGTACATATAGTGAAATTCCTTCTGTTTCTTTTACAGGTTGATGACCAAATGAAGCTGCTTCAGAACTGCTGGAGTGAACTCCTAATTCTTGATCACATTTACCGACAAGTGGTACATGGAAAGGAAGGCTCAATCTTCCTGGTTACTGGGCAACAAGTGAGTGTAGAGGCACTGAAGGGGGAAAGTGTCTTTTTATTAAGCATGTTCAGAATGGCCGGAATCTAACTCAGTCAGAAGCACTCCTGTGCTTCAAAATGGAGAGACTGGCTCCACACAATTTAAAAAGATGACTTTGTGTACTCTGTTCCTAGTCTGATGATTACAGATAAACTTCCAAAGAGCAAACATAATCATAAGCACTCTCCTTTTTCTGACCTGGTGTATGCTGTGATGATTAGAAGTTATGGGAAGGCTATTTCAAGGAGTTCTGCTTCTTGGTTGGATGGACAGATAGATAATCAATAGATGTGTAGGTAAATTGACAGCTAGATAGATGAGAAATAGACAGACAGACAGATAGATGATAGATAGATAGATAGAGATAGATAGATAGATAGATAGATAGATAGATAGAGACAAAGAGAGACAGAGAGATGATAGAGAAAGATGAATGATAGATAATAGCATTATTGTGAGCTTCTTGAGAGCAGGAACTGTCTTTTACCTTTCTTTGTATCCCCAGCACTTAGCACAGTGCCTGGCAAATAGTAGGAAGGAGGGAAGGAAGGAGGGAGGGGGAGAGAGAGAAGAGAGAGAGAGAGAGAGAGAGAGAGAGAGAGAGAGAGAGAGAGAGAAGGAGAGAGAGAGAGAACAGAGAGGGGAAGAGAAAAGACAGTGAAAGTGCAGAGAAGTGAGAGAGGAAAGAAAGAAAAAGAAAGAAAAAAGAAGAAAGAAGAAAGAAAGAAAGGAAAAAGAAAGAAAAGAGAAAGAGAAAGGAGAAAAGAAGAAAGAAGAAAAGAAGAAAAGAGAGAAAGAAGAAAGAAAGAAGAGAAAGAAGAAGAAAGAAGAAAGAAGAAAGAGAAAGAAAGAAAGAAAGAAGAAAGAAAGAAGAAAGAAAAGGAAAGAAGGAAAGAAGGAAAGAAGGAAAGAAAGAAAGAAAAAGAAAGAAAGAAAGAAAGAAAGAAAGAAAGAAAGAAAGAAAGAAAGAAAGAAAGAAAGAAAGAAAGAAAGAAAGAAAGAAAGAAAGAAAGAAAGAAAGAAAGAAAGGAGGGAAGGAAGGAGGGAAGGAAGGAGGGAAGGAAGGAGGGAAGGAAGGAGGGAAGGAAGGAGGGAAGGAAGGAGGGAAGGAAGGAGGGAAGGAAGGAGGGAAGGAAGGAGGGAAGGAAGAGAAAGGAAGGAAGGGAGGAAGAGGGAAAGAAGGAAAATAAGAACTAAGCACTGTGAATACAAATGCAAGGTGGCAAGATGGTCTCTGCCCTCAAGGAACTGACATTTAGCAACTAACAAGGACCTGAAAGGGTGTGAGTGGTCCTTGCAACCTATGGGTTGACTTGGAGCTAGTGCCCAGGAAGTGGGTTACAAGCTAGACTCCTGGCAAGATAAAGTGAAAGGTCTACTCTCAAGAGTTGGGGTAGAGTCAGAGTTGGGAAGATCGTTGAAGCCAAAATTAAAAGCCAGGGGACAGCTAGGTGGCACAGTGGATAGAGCACCAGCCTTGGATTCAGGAGGACCTGAATTCAAATCTGGCCTCAGACACAACACTTGCTAGCTGTGTGACCCTGGGCAAGTCACTTAACCCCATTACCTAACCAAAAAAAAAGAATTAAAAGCTAGCTCTAGGACTGTACTTCTGGGTCTCAGAAAGGACTTGCATTCTTGCTTGTTACATCCTTGAGCCCCAGTAAGTACATTGCAGAAACCTTCCTCTTTGAGGCGTCACTTTTGCAAGAGGAGTATGCTTGTGCAAGCTTGTAACCACATGTGTGCCGTTCGGTTGGGATGCCTCCCAACACGCCACTTAGGAAAGCATGGTTGATAGCCACAGCCAGAAAGTGGAAAGGGTCCTGTCACTAGTTCTCAAGATCCAGATTAATTCAGCATGTATTTATTAAGCACCTACCACATGCAAGCACTGAGAATACAAAATAAATAATCCCTCTCCTCAAGGGACTTACATTTTATTGGAAGAAGAAGGGAAGGGAAGGTCGGGAGCCCAACATCCTTTGTGCAGGCACACGTTCGTGTGTGTATGTGTGTGTGTGTGTGTGAGAGAGAGAGAGAGAGACAGAGAGAGAGAGAGAGAGAGACAGAGAGACAGAGAGAGAGAGAGACAGAGAGACAGAGAGACAGAGAGAGAGAGAGAGAAGAGAGAGAGAGAGAGAGAGAGAGAGAGAGAGAGAGAGACAAAGACAGAGAGAGACACACACACAGAGACAGAGACAGAGAGACAGAGAGATCCAGGGGAAGATTGTTGGATTTAGGCAGAGACCCTGAACTTGAACCTGTCACTTACTGCCTATGAGCAAGGCGTTTCACCCCTGAGTCTCAGTTATTTCATCTGTAAAATGAAAGGGTTGGACAAAATGATGTTCAAGGTCTCTCCCAGCTCTTGATCTGTTTTCTGATATATATAGAAAACTATATAATACACCATAATCTCAGAAGGAAACAAGCATCAGCAGTTGGGGGAATCAGGAAAGGCTTCATGAGACAGATGGCACCTGAGATAAGCCTTAAAGGAAGAGAAGACTTCCCAAAGGTCCAGATGAAGAGCGCATACACTCCAGCTGTGGTCGATGGCTTGTGTAAATGCGCAAGGGCCGAAATTGGAGTGCTAAGTTAAGGCAAATGCTAGTAACACAGTTTGGCTGCAACTTAGAGTACACGAAGGAGAGTGATACACTTATGTAAAAGTAGGGCTTCTTAGCCAGAGTCCATAGGATTGCTTTTAAAAAATATTTTGATAAGTATATTTCAATATAATTGGTTTCCTTTGTAATCCTATGTATTTTATTTTATACACTTATAAACATTATTCTGAAAAGGGGTCCACAGGCTGACTGCCAAAGGTCACACACACACATGCAAGGTTATGGAAGAAAAAAAGATTTATATAACTTTATTATATATTTAAAAGGAATAGCAAGTTGTATATAATAGATTTGCAGTTTCACATGCAATCATCTTTCTCAATTACACTATGTAATGGAAATGTTTGTTTTATCTCATAAATTAAAATTTTAATAAGTAAAGTAATTTTTAAAAGAAACCTGCTGTGAAGGTAAGTAGGAGTTAAATCATGGAGGGCCTTGAATGCCAGGCCAAGGAGTTTGCATTTTACCCTGAAAACAATAAGAAACAACTCAAAGTTCTGGAGGAGGGGGAATGTCTTAGAAGCTGCAAGAAAATGATAGAGGAAGAATCATGATTCAGAAACCAAGATTTAAATAAGGCAGATATGTAATTATGGAAATAGCTCTTTATTTCAGATCTACATAAACTTAGATGCATGGGTCTCCTATATCTTAAACACTGTTTTCAACATAATTAAGTTACTTTAATAATAATACTAACAATAATAATTCCCATTTATATAGCACTTTGAGCTTTGCAATGAAAGTATTATGATTCATAGATCAGAAGAAAGGGTATAGCAAATATGAATCAAATGAGGGAGAGATTAAAGAAGGAAAACTGAGGCTGAGTCTCACAAAAGATGTCATGATAAGCCAACATTGCTTAAGCCAAGTAATATAATGTAGTCCCTTAGGAGCAATCTCCAGAAAGTAGCAAATTAAATATATGCAGAGATATCCAGATTCCTATATTTAAACCCTTCAGCCCCGGTCATATTTATGTGGAGGTAGATTGTCTTTCTCTCATACATCCAGACATAGTTCAGTTTCAAAGTAATGGAAGGGAGTCTAACCCAAAGGGGCAGCTAGGTGGTGCATTGGATAGAGTGCTGGGCCTGGAGTCCAGAAGACTCATCTCCCTGAGTTCAAATCTAGCCTCAGCAACTTACTAGCTGTGTGACCCTGGGTAAGTCACTTAACCCTGTTGGCCTCAGTTTCCTCATCTGTAAAATGAGCTGGAGAAGGAAATGGCAGACCACTCCAGTATCACTGCCAAGAAGCCCCAAATGGGGTCATGGAGAGTCAGACACAACTGAATAACCATTCAGCAACAACAATAAATCAAAGAGAGCAGTAGGGGAAAATTAAATAATATTCCTATTGAGCAATTCTTTAAGGTTATCTTTCTCACAGGAAACTGTGGCCTTTAAAATTGTGTGCAGCTGGTCCCTTTCCCATCCACCACATGGAACATACCAAAGGTATGTTCTGATGCAACTGAGCAGAAATCTGGAAAAGGGAGGTGAGCCAAGTATAGGTACCATATATGCCAGTGACTCTTACCTTATGGAACAACCTCCCAACTAAAGAAAGGAAATCAATCTATCAACATATATTCATTGAGCACCTATTGAGAGCCCTGCCTTATGGGAGGTGCTTTGGGAGAAACAGAAAAATCTGAAATGATGGTCCTTGCTCCTGGGGAAACAACAATTTCATTGTAGAAACATCCTTAGTTAAATTTAAACATTGTTTCCCAAATGTTATCTGAGATCTCACTGATGTGGGCATTCCTTCCAGTAATATAGATTGCGACTTATCCTCGTCTTCCCATCCTGGGCACCTCATGTCCATATCCTCTCAAAACTTCACAAAAGAGTTTCTCCCAGTGTGCTAGGGGCCCTCCTCAGGTGCTTTTAACATTCTGGGGATATAAGTGAGACACACTGGTTAGCCCTCACTCCTGCCACATGACCAGCCAATTTTCTTTCTCGAGCGTGCAGTATTTTTTGGTGATGTTCTTGACTCTACTTTTCCTTCATCACTCTATTAAAAAGTGCAAAATTATGTGGATGTGGTTATAAATAGAAATGGAATTAAGAGAGGATAGAGGTAGGGGCACCTAGGTGGTGCAGTGGATAGAGCACCGGCCTTGAATTCAGAAGGACCTGAGTTCAAATCCGGCCTCGGACACATAACACTTACTAGCTGTGTGACCCTAGGCAAGTCACTTGACCCCATTGCCTAGCCAAAAAAAAAAAAAAGACAGAGAGAGAGAGAGAGGTCCTCTAGAGCTTTTGTTCAGGGAAGACTCTAGGGAAAAGGTCAGCCTTGAACTGAGCCCTGAAAAAATGGATATTG